TGTGTCTTGTACAGTGAATTTTCATGAGAAATAAATATAACCTCATACACCAGGAAAACTGGACAATGCACAGCAGGAGGAACGGGGGCTGATAGGAGGCCAGCAGCTCTTTTAATGCAGGGCCTACTAGCAGGAGGCTGTAGCACCATCTAAGAATTAACAAAGTAACTTTGTGCCAACTCAGACCAAGTACCTGAACACTAACCTCATCATGGCTGGGGATTTGAAATAAATCAACCGTAAACGTCTGTTGAACTTCCATCAACAAATTACACTGTAGTTCCAGAGGAGATGTGACTCTAAACCATTGTTATTTTCTATTCAAAGAAGACTACAAGGCTAATTCTCTCACATCATTCGACAAGTGAGACCACACTGTCATCTTTTTCATACTGAAATATGTACAAAGCATGGTAGAGGTAGAGGAAACTGGGGCCATGCCCTGCGAAGCTGCCCGCCACAGGAAAACGTTACCAGCTGAATGACTAAGAGAAAGAGAATCAAATGGTCATATTAGGCTGTTAAGAGAAATACACATATGAAATAAAACTGCTTGATTTTAATTAAACAGAATCACATCGCTTTAATTGAAACATACATTTAATTAATCCAAATGGACTAAAAGAGATTCAGATTATTACAATGTAGTATTTTCTTACAGCATTTTTCACTTGGATTTGAGAATGTGGGTAATATAACTAAAGCTAGAAAGGCGCTATAGAAGTGCAGTCCATTTATAGTGAGTTCAGCTTTAAGCTGGACAACTGCACAGACCATGACATATAGTATAGCTATGGAAAAAAGCATTCAAAGGTTTTGAAAATCTATATCATGCTCTTGTTTCTGTATTGTCACTAGTGTCAGATGGTTACACGGTGATCTAAAAATGGAGGCTGGTGTAAAGCCACAGCAAGAGCTGTTGACAGTTTTATCACAGAGATTCTTGATACTGTGTAATAGTGGACCATTGTCTTTCTTTTGTTTTATACATTTTTAAATTCTGGACACTACAAAAGTCTGAATTTTCACTTACCAAAGTCACGGAGTTCTACAAATATTATTTTATGTTGGTGTTGTCTTTGGATGTCTGTTTACTGTACACAGATAACTTTTGAAATACTTCCTGAAAGTCTTGTCTCGTAACCCGTAGACAATGGGACTAATAAAGCGAGGGAGGATTTGGTTTATAATAAACATAACAAAGTTTATGGATGCTAAACTCCCTGGGAACAAGTATATGAACAATTGAATTAACATAGGTTGCACATAGACCATCATACACAGCAGCACCTGAAAGCCATGAAGGAGGATAGTGTTTCTGGCCTTTTTAGCATCTGCATTAGCAGCTTTGGCCACAAACAAAATTCTGAAGTAACTGTAAAACAGAGTGAGCCAAACCACAACCAGAAACAATATGTGGGATACATCCCTCTTCTTTAGACTGTAGGGGCTCCTAAACACTGAATCCCTGAAACAGTAAACTCTTGAATTTAGGAACTCCAGAGGTTCAGTGGCCAGAAGGATGAAGACATCGGGTAGGACAGAAAGTGAACTCATTGTCCAGATTATGCCAATTACAATATATGTTCTTTTGACCGTACATATGTTGTTGTAGCGGAGGGGAATGCAGACTGCGATGTAGCACTCTGCTGCCATGAAAGCTAGGTTCAGAGGGGTGTTTTGTGTGGTGAATATGGCAGGCAAGACTAAGAGACAACAGAGGGAGACATAGATGGTGTGGAAGGCATAACTGAAGATGAAGAGGGAAATGCTGGTTGTCAGCTGGATCATGTCGCTGAACACCAGGTGGATGAAAAGGATATAGCGAGGGTTCGCCTTGAAGATCTGAATTGAACAACAGAATTAGGGGTTAGATTGCAGATATTACACACCTCCCCCTGGGTATTGTACATTTATCTAAAACCGCTAGTCCCATTACATTGAATGCCTAAAAAAAAACCCAAAACCTTACTGGACTTGTTGTTTTGTTACTTTTTTATATCATGCTTTATTTACCATCTGTGATTCTATGTGAACATAACATAGGAATGATAATTGCATTGAAAATACATTCTTACATTTCTGTATTTAACAAGCAACTTGATATAAACTTCTACTAGTAATCACATCATATTGGCTTTTTTTTTGTCATTTTTGCATGAAGATTTCTGTGCAGACTGAGCATACAGTCACTCGAAGAGGATGACTAACAATTAAAAAGATGATTGTACTTCATCTCTTATATAATAAGAAGGTTGTAAAGGTTCAAGTTGAATATTTACAATTTGTCTTGTTCCCACATAGTCAACTGCCCACTAAATTGCTATTTAGTTCCTTTGGTATTTATGTATGAAATATTTTAAGTAGATATGTAATTCACACATGCAACCCAGCAGGTATGAAAAAAAAGTACATAAATCAGATTACAGGAGCTAGAAAATTAAGTGTTGATGCAAAAATAATTGCTATATCAACAAGAACAAGAAGAACATGGTTATACCTTTTAAGACCAACCGTTTTGAAAAAGAACAGATATAAAATAAAACAAAGAAACAAAAGGAAGAGAGAAGTTCACAAATATTTTACACTAAATGCTTAAAAAATTGCTTAACTAATTAACTTTCTCGCATTCACTATTCAAGTATGGAATAATTAAACAAAATGTTTTTTCTCTTGTCCAAGTATAAATGCAATGTGACCCAGCAGGTAGGAGAAAAAGGTACATAAATCAGGTCACAGGAGCTAGAAAATGAAATGTTATTCCAAAAATAATTACTGAAACAACTAGAATCAAGAGAATAGGGTTACACCTTTTAAGACCAGATAGAAAAGACGGCAATGAAAGGGAAGTGAGAGGTATTTCTTTTTCTTACATATTTTACAACTAATTTCTTTCTTTGCTTGCTTAACTAATTAACTTTCTCTTATGTAGAAATACTATTATACACACATGATGCTTGTTGAATGTGTGGACCAGTATGGCATTGATGTAGTTGATGGTGATGCCGAGGACAACAACAGTCACATTCTTGCCAACAGCCAAAACAAACGCGTCTCTGTAATTCATAGTCATCGTTAAATTGTTGTCCCCTGGTGTGAAATTCATGTCAGCATCCGATGAACTTCTTTCAAAAGCAAAAGAAATACAATTTATGATCATAAAATACTGCAAGGATAATTTAAAAACAAACATTCTGACAACTTTACATACTTTAAGCTTTTTTATATTTCCTATGAAATTTGAAGTAGTCCAGTGAACAAACAATTTAATACTGACCTCAGATTGTGGATTCGGATCTGGAGGTTAATCTGCCTTAAAATGATTGTGCTATAGCAAGAGAAGATTGTTTTATACAGCAGAATCATTAAGTACGTGTGCATACTTCTGACTTGAAAAACACCCACACAGCGTGCTTGTGTGATGAAGTACATGTAGTATTTTTAGATATAGTGTTAAGTATCTTTAGTACATTTACAATGTGTATTCAATTTACCGTAATGGACAACAAGGGATTGTTCTACAACTTGAAAAACAATTAACTGTTTGGCACAATGCTACACATTCAATTCAATTCAATTCTGTTTTATTTGTATAGTTATCTCAGGACACTTTTTAAATACACAGGTCTAGAACGAACTCCTTCTAAAATTATTTACAGAGATCCAACAGTTCCCACCATGAGCAAGCACTTGGCGACGGCGGCAAGGAAAAACTTTCTTTTAAAAGGCAGAAACCTCGGACAGACCCTGGCTCTA